ACTCTTATTTAATCATTTTGAACTAATCCCTCCGTGGGGGATAGTAGTTGTTTTTCACTCTACCCATTTTTGTATTTTGATTTTGTAATAAACCTTTTTTGAAAAAGAAACATAATCCTGATTCTTTCAGGTTTTCTCTAAAGCTTCACGTTTGGAGCCCTGGCCATAATTGCACAGAGGTAAGCATGTCGAAGATCGGTCTCTGAATTATCAGGACTTACTTTACAGTTTATAACAGAATAATATAAAGAAACCTTAAGATAAGGGAAGTTTTAACTTCTCCCTCCTTGCGGGTAACGGGTTGTCTTAAGGGCGATAAAAGCAAAATATTCGAGGTTATTTTGGCTCTGATTGCAGGTTGAAAAAGTCTCTAATCAGCTGGAAGGTTGGATTAATAAATAAATTGATAAACTTATGATAGCCTGATCAACTAGCATAAATCATTTTATAGTTACCAACCTCCCACATAAGCTGTTAGAGGCGCAATTAATTCCGGGTAGCCCAAACAATTGCTGAGAGGCTTGGCTTGCCTCCAGACTTCTCTCTAGTATCTTAACCAAAAGGTAACGAGTTTAAAAGAAGTGTAGCACTCTGGGGCTGGCTATTCGTGCAAGTCATTTCACCTTTAAAATAAAAGACAAGATTCTAATTAGATAGTCCAAACCCGGATCTAGTACGATTATACTCGTCGATACACCCCCGAACCCTGATGGATGCACCGTCTCATAAGTTCTAACGGAACTGGGTTTTAAAGGAACCGGTAAATGGGACGGGCACGCGACAATATAACACCTTCCAGCGCTCTACAACCCCTCAAGGCACTTTGTACAACAAAATCAGTCATTCACCGTGCACACACACATTCCCAGGCTGATGGTGATGAGCTAAATTGTAGCCACAGCTGCCCTGGGGCACATGGACAGAGATGAGGCTGCCCAACACTGGCGGCACCAGTCCCTCCGACCACCAGCAGGCAAGTGTCTTGCCCAAGGACACAACAGCAAAATTCTCTGCCAGGAGCAGGGATTGATCCTACAACCCACTCTACTGCCTGAGCTACTGCTGCCTTAAACGCCACAGCAGACACAAAGCAGCTCTCCCGGTCCTCCAAACTGATCAAATTGCCGTGCTTCAACAGAATAAATAATACCTTTAATGTTACTGTGAACACTTTCTGGTGCTGATCAGTGACACCACTCTCTGCCGAAGCAGTGGCGATATGCTGACGTTTGTGCAAAGTCCTGAGATGGGCTGAATTTGCATGGAGACACAACAGCTGAGAAGACCAGACCATCATGTTTCCCGGTCAATCCCCCTCCCAGAAATCCTAAAGTTCCGACAATGGAAACACGCCTATTGATGCTAATGATGGTAAATGAAGTCCCATTAAATGGCTACTCGTTGAATCCGAGAAGCTTTCCATGTATTAATAGTCGCGTGAAATCAGCAGCTATTTCGAAAAGCAGCTCTGTGAGTCACTAATGGTGCTTTTCAATGAGCGCCTACTGGTGTTGCTCAGCTCGGCTCCACATGGTTCCAGGGCTAGATACGGGTACCAGGTTGCTCTCCTTTTTCGTGCTGAGATGAAAGGAGGCGTAGTCGTTTGTTGCTCCAGAGTGTTCTGCCTTGAAGCTTGCAGCCTTTTGCGGGTCTCTTAGTTTTTTAGAGCCTGAAAAAAGCCCAAACGCCAAACAGAACTAAACACACACCATGTCCTGTGCTGTTGTGCTGTGTTTATGTGTCACGTACAGATCACTTAGCACTGCAATTTTGCTAACCCTTTTTATAAATTGCAATGTTAAAAAAATATAGGAATTCCCAACAGATGTCTTGAATGGCATTGTATGTTACGCTGCACTCCTGCTATCTTCGTGACAATTAATGCTTTGTTTAATGCTCCACATGAAATAAACAACATTCTTCTGGGTCAAATCAGCATTTTTGCAACGTGATTCAGTCATAACTGTAGACACTGTAAACACATTTGTTAAAGCACTTTGAAAAATAAATCCACCTCACCGTTTGAAGCATCAAATTGACAGACTGTGGCAATCTCGAACAAAATCTGTGTTTCTCCATCCAGAGGTGTCCAGTTAATAGTAAATAATAATGAATGGTCTAAAAAAGTCTTATGTCCACAATAGGGTTGTCACGGTAACCGGTATAGCGGTAAACCCCGGTAAAAAAGTTGACAATAAAAATAACCGTCCAGTTTTTAAAAAACTATATTATCTCGGTGGGTTTACCGTGGCCGCGGTTTCGGCGCGGTGACCCTTACCAGCCACCGTCGCTTCAGCTGAAGTTCCCGCGGCGCGCACACGCACTTTTTAATTTGCAACGGCACCAAAACTTTGAATCTGAAATAATGGCCGAAGGAGGAGACGGCAGCGCCCAGGACATCCATCAGCCCTCAAAGAAGACTAAATCGGAAGTATAGCATATTTTGGATTTCTGAAAAACGCTGAGGGACAGTTAATAGAAGACTGCTATCCCGTTTGCAGAACGTGCAGGAAACAAGTGTCTGCAAAAGGCAGCAACACTTCGAATCTAATGGCACATCTGCGTGACCATCATCCGCGTCTCTACAGCCAGTGCAAGGTAAGTTAACATTAGCATTTTAGCTTAAATGCATGACGTGAGGACTTCTGGTTGAGGGAGAATGCAACGAGTCACTATAGACTGCAGCCGCAGCGTCCTCTGCCAGCATTTAAACCGTGTCACGGACACCCTGTTGCTGGATGAAGCATCTTATTTGTTGATGATGAAGAGAAATATACAATTAGTTCCTTGTCATTGATTTGTTTACTTATTCAATGCCATTTATACTTGAACATTTGGATTTGATTACATAGTGTAGTAGTTATTTTAGTAATTTGTTTAAAGTGGCTATTTGTTTTAAATACATATTTTTTAAGGTTGACTTGTACAGTGCTCAAGTCAAGTGTGGACTGGAGTTTTAGATTTTCATTTTGATAATGAAGAAAACAAGTATATGAGAAAACAAGTGGTGTTTCTTTGATTTGTTTACATATTGTTTATGTTTTGAATGTTTGGATTTGTATCATTTAAACCTGCACTGACTACTGTAACATGTTCCAGAAAAATAAGCTATTTGTTCCTTTACTAGTGAAAATTTGCACTTTTGCTAAGGCTTTGTGTTATTTTAGGTTTAATAAACAATGTTAAACCTTTTCAAAACTATTTCAGTTTGTGTAGAACAGGACTATCAATGCTTTCTGAACATATGCAACACCGTTTAAAAAATACCGCGATAATACCGAAAACCGTGATAATTTTGGTCACAATAACCGTGAGGTTAAATTTTCATACCGTGACAACCCTAGTCCACAATTCAAGATGATATACCACTGAAAGCCATCGACATTTCCTTCAGATGCACTTCTTTCCCATAAAGATTTCATCATGGCCGCAGTTAGCATCTCCACACTGACCATTACCCACATGTTTGCCGATCCGATAGGTGAAAGGATATCCCTCTGCTGAGGGAAAATCTTCAGCTATTAGCTGAAAGGTAAAAGTACCGCCCCTTTTTACAACATGTATATCTTCAACTAATCATGTGCATTGTTGACTTGCATTAAATATTCAAGGAAATTCAGAAAGCGGCAAAATCTCACTAGAGAGTTTGGATTTTCTGCTTCTACAAACTGAATAAATGGCAAATGGCCTGTATTTGTATACCGCCTTCCAGGGTTCTACAACCCCCCAAGGCGCTTTGCAACACAATCAGTCATTCACCTATCCACACACACATTCATAAGCTGTGTGCCACAGTGGCAGAGAATGCTGCCGTTGTGTCCTTGGGCAAGACACTGAAGCTTGGTTTATGCTTGACGCATTTACTTTCCGCTTGGTGATGCGGCTCGCGGATGGAACGCGCTTCACAACTCGCAGCGTTTATGGTTCATGCGGCTTGTCTCTGCGGTGAGCCAATATCCTCCCAAACTGTAGGGGGCAGCATGGAGCTCTACGGCATGCATCCAACACTACATCATAGTAGAAGTAAAAATTACTGTTTACAACATGGCATTCCAGCATTTTTTAACAGCGTCCTCGTCTTTCCGACAGTGCGAGCTATTTCTCTCCAAGAATTATTAACAACATGTTGATCACGGTGATCTTTGAGAGCTGAATCATCCAAATGTCTGTATTTACGAACCTCTGCTGTACTAGTTCTTGCCAGTCCGCCATATTTTTCCGCGTCCGACCGTCCGCGTGGTTAGAAAATTTCCTCGGTGCGCGGTGCGGAAATTTTGGGCCGTGCGGAGGCGCGGTGGAGGGGCGTGGTTGTTATAATGACGCAATTTCGCCGCGCGGAGCCGTGCGAACCTCGCGGACGCGTCAAGCAAAAACCAACCTTTAACGCATCTTGCCTGCTGGTGGTGGTCGGATGGACCGGTGGTTCGGCAGGCCTCGCTTTTGTCAGTGTGCCCCAGGGCAGCCGTGGCTACGTTGTAGCTCATCATCACCACCAATGTGTGAGTAAGAACTATTGTTATTGGTGGACTGTTGCACTGAATGTGTGTCAGGGACAATTAACATGAGATAGGAACACATTGAGACATAGAATGAACACAGGTAAACTGCAGTGTCAATGCGCAATAATAACACTGTGCTGCTCTACCTCACACTCATTTTGAGTTGCACACAGACCACCTCGCTCTAATTTTCCAACTCTGCTGCGACAAGTCCACCTACTGGAGCCATTTCTCAGTAGTAATGGATACCATGGACGTAATTTGGGGGGGGGGGGGGGGGGGGGGGGACAGGGGGGACATGTCCCCCCCACTTTTTCCAAAGTCAAGTTTTGACCCCTGCACTTTTTACCATCCAAAAACAATATTACGCTATATTAAATTGACACTGGTTGAGCTCTAGGACCAAGCCGAAAGCAACCGTTTGTGTTGAAGCCGGTTTCCCATTAGAACATATTGTAAAGATACCCCCCCCCCCCCACACACACACTTCTAAAGTGAAAATTACGTCCTTGATGGATACACACACTGAACCGTTTAAAAGAAAAGGGTTGTTTTAGACCTAACAGAGTCAGGACTACAAGAAGATATCATTAGAAACTCCAGTTTACAGGATTCTGGTTGTCAGGTTATCTCCAAGAACTATATTCAACAAAATGCCCAAGACATTTTCATTTCTGTTTTTGTCTCTGTGAGGCAACACTACACAAATGTAGCCATGCAAATACCTTTCAATCAAAATACAGAGTATTCACCAGAGCAATTGTACTTTGACTTGAGTACATACGTCTAATAGTTTTTGCTTCTCTGATATTCGTGTCCAGTCACATGTGTGGAATAACCGCCTTGCTCAGGTTATTCGTGTGAAATCTAAAGTTATATGTTTGTCGTCTCTCAAACAAATAGTTCCAGTCAGTATTTTTCTTTAAATATTTGAATACCTTTCTAGTTGCGTGTTGCACCTTGTCCAACGTATCTTCCAGGATTCTATGGAAATCAGCCTCGACAGACTCCATGTTGTTGAACATGCCAATAAGACCAGAGCTCAAGCTCAGGAGGAAATAATTTGAGTGACAACTAAATGCAGTTTGGGAGCAAAGACAACTCTGTTGGAGTTTTTTTAAGTAAAAAAGTAAAGGATGATTATCAAAGGTCACCATTTGAATTTATTGTGATTTTTAGTAAGCTAGGGGTAATAAAAGCAGCATCATGCTGGCCTAAGGGGCGGACATTATGAGTAACCTTGGATGTTGAATGCAGATTAATAAAGGCCTACTAAAAATAAAACAAACATGAGTCACTGCTTTTTTCTTCTCATTTCACAAGCAGTGGCACTCGTCCAGGCAGCGTTTCATCCAGTGCATCCATGGAGAGGGTCCTGAAACGCTTGGCTCACCAGCACAAAACATGGCCAATAGTTACTTTTATTCACTGTTTTTTTTTTCATCTTTTGTTTTGGTTCTCAGCAGCTCTAATTCTGCACGTTCTTTTGTTATGATGTTCAATACAATAAAAGTGGAATTGCAGGTCTATTTTGGTTCAGAAGTGAGTAAATTACAGATAGCCTTGGCTCATGTTGTGTTGCTGGTGATGTGTACGATTGTGTAATCGCTGTAAGTTAAACCTCTTTGAATCGTCTTCAAAATGTCCCGAATTTGGTGACATATTTTTGAACCAGTACAAAGAGTAAGAACAACATTGAAAAGGATGTGTATTTCAATAGCGGGCATTGAATTCTGAAATGAGTTAACAGAAGAAATAAAGGACAGTAGTAATGTAAACCAGTTTAAAATAAAACTCAAAAAAGAAATGTTAAATAAGTATAAGAATGAAGAAAATGCAATTAACCCAGGACGGCATGCAAACTGATGTTTAATCTCTTCTGCAAATTAGAAAATCTAAATATAGTTCTAGTTGAACATGAGAATTTTATTTATTTATTATTGTTATTTTTTGTGGTTTTTTTAAGGCATTGTAACTGTTTTGTTGTTTAAATTTTGATGATGAGGATGTAAACCTGAGGGGGTAGGGCTAAATAAGTATACACTTCTCCCTACTCCTTTTCAAACAATTGCGTGGAATGATTTTATGAAATGTTGGTGAATGTGTATGTTTGAAATAAAGTGAACTGAACTGAACTGAACTGAACTGAACCAACATTGACAGGCGCACTAACATTACAACCATTCTGGCAGATTTGCACTGGCCTCCGGTGTCCCATCCTGTGATATTTAAAGTCCTGGTTTTTGTTCATGAAAGCGTTCATGCCCAGGCCCCTCCATGATATCGTCACCGCCTACGTCCCACCGCGACCCCCTAGGTCTGCTGAGTTTTTGCTCCTGCAAAAATATAACAACCAACTCAAATTTTATGTTCAAACCAAATGAAACAAGGAGAGCTTGGATTAGGGGTGTATTTACTCATTGGTGTGTGAGCATGTGTGCATGTAAGCAACCATTCGTCTCCAGAGTCCTTGTGTTTGTGGTGCATCTGACGCTGTGGGATCAGTCCTGCTGATGGATGGCCTTACATCCCGTCTTGCGTGACTGGCTAGTCAGATAGCCATCAGTAGCCAAATGAGTGCAGGTCAGGCCTCTGCGCTTCAGTCTAAAACTCATTTGGTATGCAAATGAAACGTCTAAACAAAGCAAACCTTTCAGAGCAGAGAAATTCACCACCTGCTTCCTTTGAAAAGTCCAAGCTTTGCTTAGGTTTGGAGACGTGAAAAAAAAGTGCGACTAAAAGAAAGTTTACGAATTAATGAGCAAGCCTTACCACCGTTAACAAATCAGAGGCAGCTCAATAAAGTGTTAAATGGCAGCAAAGAGGGGTGACGTTTCAAAATATGAGTTTGATTTTTATTCATTGCTTTTTTTTAGAATTCAAGGCTAAATTTTTGAGTTTTAACCTTTTGAAATCTGCTAGCTGACAATCAGAGGCCATGCCTATCTTAGCTCACAAATGAGTTTGCTGCAGCGTCAATGAGTTTTTCCGTGTTTTGGGA